AGAGTTAATAGAGTGAAGGAGGGAGGGGGAGAGAGAGAGAGAGATCTTCCATCCGCTGATTCACTCCCCAAATGGCCTCAGTGGCTGGGGCTTGGCTAGGCGGAAGCCAGGAGCCTGGAACTCCAGCCGAATCTCCCATGCGGGCGACAGGGGCCCAAGTACTTGGGTCAACTTCTGCTGCTTTCCCAGGTGCACTAGCAGGGAGCTGACTGGATGTGAAGCAGCTGGGATGCTGGTGTAGCAAGAAGCAGCTTAACCCACTGCCCCACAACATGGGCCCTTGGCCAATCCCTTAGCTCACGTCTCAAAAGCCAGTGTTAAGGAAAGCCACCCCGGCACCCCACATCACTCACTGCTCTCTAAACACTGTTAGAGCACCAGGGTGCTGCCAGACTGGTCACTGTCCCATCCGGCATTTTTGGGTGAAGCTCATGAATACTGGAGTCGCTGCTCAACACCTCCCAAGCTAGACTGCAAAGGGTCTGCCTGTGCCACACGTGTGCCTGGCACTGCTTCACACAGGACCGTATTCTAAGAGATGCAGCATCAAGTGATTTCATCGTTGTGCCAACACCACAGAAGGCACTTACACACACACACACACACACACACAGTCTAGCCCACTGCACACCACGTGGCTTAGCCAATGCTCCCAGGCTAGCAGCCTGCACAGTGTAAGCCACTGTCACCCAGTTATTGAACACTGTAAGCCGCTGTCACCCAGTAGTAAGTATTTGTGTATCTAAATATAGAAAAGGTACAGTAAAAATGCCAGGGGATAGAGAATTTTCAGCTCCATTATAATCTTATGGGACACTGTCATATATGTAGCCCTCTGCTGAGCAAAATGCCCCAATGTGGCTCATGGCTGTAGTTGTTCAAGAGAACAAGACCCGAGCTACACATACAGTAAATGAAGAAGCCCGCCCCTTAGGACGATGGCACTGAACCAGACCCAGCTGATATTCTCCTGAAGGCCTGTGATACTCCGGGGCTCTGGGAAGTTGCAGCCCCCCGTACCTCATATACATTTATTTATTTATTTATTTTTAAGATTTATTTGAAAAGCAGAGTGACACAGAGAAAGGGAGAGACAGAGAGATCTTCCTTTTGCTGGGTCATTCCCCAAAAGCCTGCACTGCCAGATCTATGCCAGGTGGGAGCCAGGAGCCAGGAACTCCATCCAGCTCTCCCACATGGGTAGCAGGGGCCCAAGCACTTGGGGGCCACCATCTGCTGCTTTCCCAGGTGCATAGCAGGGAGCTGGATTGGAAGCCGAGCATCTGGGACTCAAAAACCGGTGCTCACAATCCAATGCACCACAACGCTGATCCCTCCTGGATCCTTGAAACAAAGCGCATCCCTTGAGAAAGCATGAGAGGTGTCACTTTCTCATAGCTAAGAGGCCAAATGGTGCAGGAACTCCTCAGACGGGAAAAACCACCAAAGCAGCAGCTCTTTGTGGGTGAGTTGTAAAGCCCAAAGCGGAAGAAATGAAAACACAAGGCGCCTTGCATAATTTCCTCCAAAGACTTCAAGATCTCTTTTGAGGGGATTAGCTGTATTCTGGAACCATTCCCAAGCGTGGTGCCAAAGGCAGCAAACTTCCTTTGACAGAGATAAGGGATAACGTTCCCTGAGACCACCAGACTCTCTGGCTAGGGGAGTTGAAAGGCTCTGAGCTGTGCACACCACTCACCGGCCTTTGACAAATTAGTTTGCTTTGCTTTCCGAAAAGTCCCACGCATGGAGCAATAGATCTAAATATCTCTGTATGTGTGAATAAAACCGACTGACTTTTTTCCCCAAAGCCTGGACGAAGGACTTCCCAAGACATGAAAATCTGCAAGTAGACTCTTATTCAGAGGCTCACTTGTGAGCTCACCAGGACTCCAAAGGCAGAAAACTCAAACCCTCAGCAAAGCACAGGGGGAAAACCCCAGGATTTCTCAGCTGCGAACTGGGCAACACCAGATTACATCTCCACATGGTCATCTGGGATGAAGTGTGTAATCTTTCTTTTAAATGTTTATTTTAATTCAAAGGCAGTGTGACAGAGGGAGACGGCGGGGGGTGGAGTGGGGAGAGAGACAGCGATATCTTCCATCTGCTGGTTTACTCCCCAAATGTCTACAACAGCCAGGACTGGGCCAGGCAGCAGCCAGGAGCCAGAAACTCCATCGGGTCTCCTGTGAGGGTGGCAGGGTCCCAGGTACTTAGGCCATCACCTGCTGCTTCCCAGGCACATAAGCAGGAAGCTGGATTGGAAACACACAGCAGCTGGAACGCAGACCCACATTCCGATATAGAAAGTGGGTGTTGTAAGCAGCGGCTCACCTGCTGTGCCACAATGCGTGATCCATAATCTATTCTTTTTTGAAAGCTAAATAAATTACTTATTTGAGAGTCAGGGAGATAGAAAGAGCTCTCCCATCTGTGGGTTCAGTCTCCAAATGCCAGCAATGGCCAAGGATCAGCTGGGGCTGAAGCTGGGAGCCGGGAACTCAATTCAGGTCTCCCAGCTTCTTGAGCCATCACCTGCCTCTTTCTGTGGTCCATACTGGTAAGGAGCTGGAACTGGGATGGAGCCACACGACCTGAACCCAGGCACGCGGATACGGGACAAGGATGTCTTAACTGGCATCTTAGCCACCAGGCCGCATGCCTGCCCCAAAGTGCATCATCTTATCTTGCCTTCTAGGCCACATGAGCAGTGCTGAACCACGGGTAGCACCAGGGCACCGTGTTGTAACAAGTAGAAGGACAAGACTTTTATGGGCTGGGCAACAGCATAAAGAGGCTCTTTCAGGGCTCCTTATGTGTTATTTTTGGAGTTTTCATTAAATGACAGATGTGAAAGCAAATAACACAAGAAAAAGTAACACATGGGACAGATGAGATAGTTTGGTTTTTCTTAAAGAGGCAGTACAGTAATCCCTCCTCATCTGCCAGAAATACATTCCAGGACCCTCAGTGGAGGCCAGAAACTCTGGATTGTACTGAGCCCTATACATACCATCTTTTTCTGTATACACAAGCACATTCTAAAGTTTAATTTACAAATTAGTCACAGTGAGAGATGAAAAACATAACTAATAATAATGTACAATGGTTATGACAATATATTATAATACGTGTTATGCGAACGTGGTCTTCCTCTCTTTCAAAATATCCATTTAATATTCTTGGACCATGGCTGACCAGACACCTGAAGCCACAGCGTGCAACCACGGGTCAGAGTGGACCATGGCCACGTGTGGTAGAAACAGCATAGCATTTGTAGTTAGGAGATCTGGTTTTGAAGACTGTCTCTAGACAGCCGTGGCCTCTTTGGACGAGTGTTCTCATTGCAGATCTGGGCAGATGCTAAGATTCTGAGAAAAGTAAATGAAACAAAGCCAAGTGATGTACCTGGACTGTGACTGACATACAACAGGTGTTCAATAGTGCATTTGTTAATGCAGTAACTCATTTGGCAGATGTTTATATAAAACTAAGGATCATTATCCATTTCTATAAAAGTTAAAAAGAGCCTTCCGAATTTTTGGCTTTGCTATCGCTTCAAGTGAGGACTAGAAGGTAGTACATTTTCGTAAAGACACAATAATACAGACTGCAAATCTCCCTGACATTCTTGGGAAGAGAATTATGATGTGACCTTACCAAATGATGCAATCCCTTACAATTCGTTCAGAGGGGGACTTCTGCTACAGAAAGAAGCAAGCGGACAGACTCCACACTTCGGAAAAGACACCAAAACAATGCTCCCCAGAAAGCCAGTTACCCGTGCATGGGATAAAATACCCCTTCTCCCCACTCCGCCTGGACTCGGCTGTTTCCTGTGTCCTGTGCGGCTCAGCTCCTGGAAGCCTTGCTCTGGCACAGACTAGCACACAAGTAGAGTGCAGGGCAAGTGGAGCCCACCTGCTAATTCTTCTCCTGTCCCATCACCTGTGGATCTCACTGGTCAGGTTTGTGTTTAAGATTAAGAATAGGGAGGAGGCCGGCACCGCAGCTCACTAGGCTAATCCTCTGCCTTGCGACGCTGGCACACCGGGTTCTAGTCCCAGTCGGGGCGCCGGATTCTGTCCCGGTTGCCCCTCTTCCAGGCCGGCTCTCTGCTGTGGCCAGGGAGTGCAGTGGAGGATGGCCCAAGTGCTTGGGCCCTGCACCCCATGGGAGACCAGGATAAGTACCTGGCTCCTGCCATCAGATCAGCGTGGTGCGCCGGCCGCAGCGCGCCAGCCGGGGCGGCCATTGGAGGGTGAACCAACGGCAAAGGAAGACCTTTCTCTCTGTCTCTCTCTCACTGTCCACTCTGCCTGTAAAAAAAAAAAAAAAAAAAAAAGAATAGGGAGGAGCCACTCTTCTTCCTATTCAAAATCAACACAGGCTGATAACATGTAACAAAACCCTTTCAAAGCTAAAGATAGTACATGGTCAAAAAGATTCATTTAACAGGCAATGTTCACATAGAGAAAAAGAAAAAAAGGCAAGGATACACTATGTCTATAGCACACAATGAGTTCTCTAAATAAAGGTCATTGAATAAAGTAAGCTAAGAGTCTAATTACTGATACATGATTGAGGGAGAGGATCTCTTTGGCAAGGCAGGGACCACCCCCCGGTCTTGTCTGGGGACTCAGAAGGGAGGCCGTGGGAACTCATGGGGTCTCAGTACAGACACTGCCCATCAGGACTGGGAGCCCCGGGGCCAGGCTGGGGTTGTCTGCATTGTCCCTGCAGAATGTCAGCTGTAAATGGGCTCCAGCAGCAGCAAGACGTCTACATTTCACTTTGTGATTCAAGTCAAGGGACAGTCTGCCGCCTGAGCACACGGCTGAGGGGCTTTCTGTCCTGTTGGGGCCTGGGCAAGGACTGTACAAGCCCCACTGGAGACCTGGCCTTTGCTCCATCTGCCAAGGGCACAAAGCTTTCAAAAAAACCCCACAAGCTTCTTAAAGGGCAGTTTCCCTCTGCCCCGTCTGCATCATACTCACAGTGTGGTTCATAAGGAGGCGGGGGGTCCCCACAAGGCACGCACTCCATGTCCTGAAATCCAACCAGCTTCGTCTTCCTATAAAACCTAGGAGAGAAGATGATCCTTGTTAGCTCTTACGTCTCAGCACGCAGTTTCAGCCAGTAAGACTTGTGTCATAGATTACCAGCAGTCTCCATTCCAGTTCTACGTCTTAAAACCAACAGAAAAGGCATGTGAAGGCTTAAGTGTAATAGCATCTTTTTTAGATACTCGTGTCCTTGGAAAGTCCATCTGATAGGCACAAACACTGAAGAAATACCAATTAGCTAAACATCACATTGTCATTTCCTCTGCTCACACTTTTTTTCTGAATTGGGGTGTTAGTGAAGGAATATGAAAATGGTGGTTTTTGATATTTCTTTTGTAATTTAAACTAAAAAAAGCTTACAAAGTGCTAGTTGTTTTTTTTTTATTTAAGCATTTATTTGTTTGAAAGAGTTACACAGAGAGGGAGAGGCAGAGAGAGAGAGAGAGAGAGAGAGAGATCTTACATCTAGTGGTTCACTCCCCAGATGGCCGCAACAGTTGGAGCTGGGCCAGGCGGTAGCCAGGAGCTTCTTCCGGGTCTCCCATGTGAGTGGCAGGGGCCCAAGCACTTGGGCCATATTCTACTGCTTTCCCAGGCACATTAGCAGGGAGCTGGATCAGTAGTGGAGCAGCTGGGACAGAGACCAGTGCCCATATGGGATGCCAGCATCACAGGTGGTGGCTTTATCTGCTACACCACAACACTGGCCTCAAAGTGCTAGTTTTTAACATTGATATGCAGCCGGCGCCGCAGCTCAACAGGCTAATCCTCCGCGTGTGGTGTTGGCACACTGGGTTCTAGTCCCGGTCGAGGCGCCGGATTCTGTCCCGGTTGCCCCTCAGCCAGGCCAGCTCTCTGCTGTGGCCAGGGAGTGCAGTGGAGGATGGCCCAGGTCCTTGGGCTCTGCACCCGCATAGGAGACCAGGAGAAGCACCTGGCTCCTGGCTTCGGATCAGCGCCATGTGCCGGCCGCAGTGCACCGGCCGCAGTGAACTGGCCGCAGCTGCCATTGGATGGTGAACCAACGGCAAAGGAAGACCTTTCTCTCTGTCTCTCTCTCTCACTGTCCATTCTGCCTGTCAAAAATTAAAAAAGAAAAATAAAAACATTGATATGATATGCAGATACAAAAAAGCCAAGCAAATCATAAAACCCATGGAAAACTGCAGAGATACTCATGCACTCTTGAAATGGGGATGTCTTCTTAAGCATGATAAGAAAACCTGGAGCCAGAGTGAAAGAGATGAACAACTTTGACCACCACCACCACCACACACACACACACACACACACACACAGGTTTTAAACACATCTGAACAGCAAAAACAAACTAATAAGGCACCATGAACAGTCAACAAGCAGAAGAAAACTGTACAATTGTTCCAATTACACTACTATGTATAATTTAAGTTTAACATTGAATACGGTGAAGGTAAACACAACAACTGAAAAACAGGCAAAAAAAAAATGTGTACATTCTCAAAAGAACATTTCATAATGTAAACTGTTCCCAACTAAAATCAAAAAGCATGATGCTATTATAAATTTTAAAAACTTAATATTAAAGTGTTTCACTTCATTACTAATCAAATAAATATAAGTTGGAGGGAAATGTATCATTTTTACTTAGAAAAATTGGAAAAATTTTGATGTAAGCATAGGCAAATAGGCATGTATATAAATATAAATATATATAGATAGCCATTTGGAATATACATGGCCATTGTTAGGAGTGCAATTTATCACTACATCATCAGAACCAATAAAACAGTTAACTTTCTTTATCCAGTAATTTCATATCTAGAAATTTATCCTAAAGAAATAACCGACTGGGTAAAGCTGTCTGTGTAAGACGACAATCACAGCATTGCTTATAAAAGAAGTCAATCAGGCACAAGTGTGCACAATCCCCGGGTCCACCATTGGAAATGACCAGTCTTGGCAGACCCTAAGCAAGGGAACACTAGGCAGCCTTCAGAATGATGATGTGGTTCTACCATGCACGTTGTTAGGTTAACTAAATATTAAGTGAAAAGGAAATGCATATATAATATTATTCTGTTGTGCAAACACAGTGCTACAGATTCTTTTTAATAATTTATGGATGATGATACAAATGCTTATGTGGATATATGTACACTGAAAAATGTTTGGAAGGATATTATATCCTAAATATTAACAGTAGCTACTTTAGATGGTGGGAATTCAAATGATTTTTTTCATGTTTCTATGACAAAAATAGTGATATGGAGACTAATTGCTGGAAGACAGGCTGGTGTAATTATTTTGTGAACTCAGATAATGCAGTAACAAATCTATATCACCTCCATGATTCAGGCAAAATTTGCATTTGAAATTAGGTAGGGTATTTCAAATGCCCAAGTACATTCCACAATTGCTCAACATTCTCTTCCTATTTGATTATGAAAATCTGTCCAAATGATATGTAACTCAGTGACTTCCCACTAGATTTTCATAAAAATGGTGAAAAGGCAGCCTATGGAAATGGAAAAAAATTTGCAAATCATGAGGGGCTAATTCCAGATTATACAAAGAACTCTTACAACTCAACAGCAAACAAATAGATCTGGTTAAAAAATGGGCAAACAACTTTAGCAGACATTCTTCCAAAGATGACACACACATGATTGACATCCAAATGAAAAAGATGCTAAGGGGAAATCGTTTGGCCTAGTGGTGAAGCCACCAGTTGGGAACCCACTTCCATGGTGGAATGGCTGGGTTTGACTCCTGGTTCCAGCTCCTGAATCCCATTTACACTGATACAGATCCAGGGAGGCAGTGGTGATGCTCAAGTGATTGGATCCCTGCCACCCACGTGGGAGACCTGGACTGAGCTCCCGGCTCCTGGTTTCCATCCTGGCTGGGAGTGTGCTGGGGGTGCCTTATGGGCATTTGGAGAATAAAGCAATGAATATGAGCTCTTTCTCAAATAACTAAAAAAAAATCTCAAAATAAAGAAATATATGGCAGTCTATCAAAAAATAGAAAAGATGCTCAACATCACTAATCATTAGGGAGCTGCAATTAAAACCACGGGGAAGTCGCTTCACAGCCATCACACGGGTTACCATCAACCATACACAGGAAACCCCGGATGGAAAATCACAAGTGCTGGAGAGGATGCGGAAACTGGAATCTGTGCAGTACTGGAAGGACTGTAAAATGGTGCAAATGCTGTGAAAGCAGTATTTCCTCAAACCACTGAAAACAAGGCTACCCCCTGATCCAGCGACACTGTTTCTGGATTTATACACAAAGGTCTTCCAGGCAGGGTCTTGAAGAGATATTCGCACCTTCATGCCCACTGCAGCATCATTCACAATAGCCAAGAGGTGGAAGAAACCCCAATGTCCACTGATACATGCATGGCTAAACAAAATGTGGTATATACATTCAACGGGGTGGTATTAAGGAAGCTAATCCTGTCACATGCTACAGCATAAAGAACCTTGGGAACATTACCCTGGGGGAAATCAGGCAGTCACAGAAAGATACACATTGCATGTGTCCACTTAGAGCAGTCAAAGTCACAGAAACAAAGCAGAGAGAGGCTACTGGGGCAGCGGGGGAGGGGGAAAGGGAAAGTTGTCTAATGGAGTTGCAGTTTGGGAAGCTGAACAAGGTTTGGAGATGTGTTTTACAGCACTGTGAACACACTTCACACAATGGAATACCACACTTCAAAGTGGTTAGCATGGGAGGTCAGTGCTGTGGTGCAGGGGTGCCCCCGGTGACACTGGGAGCCCACGATGGAGTGCTGGTTGGAGTTCCAGCTGCTTGGTTTCATCTAGCCACCTACTGATGTGCCTGGGAAGGCAGCAGATGATGGGCCCCTGACACCCATGTGGAGGCCTAGCTGGAGTTTCTGGCTCCTGGCTTCCATGCGGAGAGTAAACCAGCGAAAGGCAATGCTCTCTCTCACTCTCTCTCTCTGTATGTCTCTACTTCTCTGCCTTTCAAATAAATCTTTTAAAAAACAGTTAAGATGATAAATCTTATGCTTTTTTGTTTCTTTAACCATGAAGATATAATAAAAATCATGGGACAATAAGAGTAAACTTTCTTTAAGATGGAATATATACACACTAATATTTTTTATTCCTTTAAGCCAGAAACCTTGCCAAACTATAAACTGATCAAGTTAAATACTGACAAAGTCTAAGTTTTTTTTTTTTATTCATTAAACTCATTTTATGTAAGACCCAAAAAAGTGAAAAGTTACTTAACATTTTCAACAAATATTTAGGATAGAGAAATACAACCTTTAAAACTTTTTGAAGTGAAAAAAGAAAAACTGTGACATATTGGAAATCAAGCATAGGCATTATTTAACATGTTTAAAGTAAAGAATTCCGCCTGTGATGGAACAGTTTGAGGTCCAAACTTTCTCTGACAACTTCCTGAAACATGCTTGCCAAAAATGTATTTGTGAAGACATACTGAGTTCGAGGAGCAGCACACAAGTGAGGCTGGAGGAGGTGAGCAGTCAGGTCATGTTCTGAGTGATCATTAAACTGAATAACTGGAAATAATGAGAACTGCAGATAGGAAGGAGGTTTCGTGGTGTTAGCACTCCCTGCCCAGTGCGGTACGTCTCACAGGAGATAGGATGCTTTGCTTAGGGGAGGCTCTGCCTGCAGCTAGCAAGAGCACAAAAGCACTCAGAACCCACTCGGCTTCCTTCTTCATTCCAGCAGTTTGGAGGCAGAATCTCAGATTTTGATAACCACTGCAAAATTTTCAAAATTAGCAACTGACTTTTTTTTTTTTTTTTTTTTTTTTTTTGACAGGCAGAGTGGACAGTGAGAGAGGGAGACAGAGAGAAAGGTCTTCTTTTGCCATTGGTTCACCCTCCAATGGCCGCCGTGGCCAGTGCACCGCGCTGATCCGATGGCAGGAGCCAGGAGCCAGGTACTTCTCCTGGTCTCTCTTGGGGTGCAGGGCCCAAGCACTTGGGCCATCCTCCACTGCCTTCCCTGGCCACAGCAGAGAG